TCATTATTTTTGAAATTTGTATAACTAAAATTTGTAAGATCTTAAAATCACATACAAAATAATCTTAATCAACAAGGTATACAATATTCATTTTCATTGGTTTAGTTACTTTTAGGTAGTTCTAAACCCGAATCTGTTGTCATTTTCAATTTGAAAAAATTTCTAAAAGTACTTCTCGATTATCGACTTCAAAAAAGTCAGTTAGCCATGACTTTAGTCGATGCTTGCTATAGGAAAAAACCATATCATTTCTCTTTAGTAAGATCTATCCAGATATCAAGAATCATCAAAAATGAACCATAAACAAACATTCTACTAATTAGTATAGTTAAGTTTTATGTAATCCTGAATAAGAATTCGTCGCCATTTTATTCTTAACGAAATCCCTAATAGCCCCTCTCGATATTTGACATCCAAATATAGTCGCAGTTGGCCATGACTTTAGTTTGATGTAAAAGGAAACATAAAGTTTAAGTGCGTTTTTGAGAGACCTACCAACAAAAAATTTATCAAAATCAAAACGTAATCAAAAATTTTGCAACGATGTACAGCCTTAAGGGTGGAACAAACGATATTTCAAACACCCTGTATTGAAACATTTTACAAATTGGTATAGTTGGGTTCTAAGTACTCCTGAATACAAACTCGTTGCCAATTTATTTATTTTTTAAATCCCTAATAGTACTTCTCTGTTCTGTCTCTTTTGTTAAATAGTCTCAGTTGGCCATGACTTTAAGTTGATCTATCAGACAAAAAAATTATCAAAATCGAAACATAAATAAAGATTTTACAAGGTGTACAGCTCTTAAGTGGGACACACTGTAGAAGCAACGTGCAAATAGGTTTCAAATTCGTAATTGGCATTTCAAAAAACCTAAAACCGCCAATTTTGAACCAAACATTGAACGCCCTGTATCTCCGAAACCAGCGACATATATTATTGTTGGCATGTTAAACTTAATCTTAATATTTCGTTGTCAAGTATCTCCAGTTTAGTATAAAAGTTTGTATATATATTATTTTATTAATATATTACGGCGATTCAGATTTTCCTATAGAAAATAGACCAATTATATTAATTAAGTGCAACATTTCAACACATTCGTGAGATTTCACGGTAGTCAGTACACACGTGCATATTACCATAACCGAGGAACTGTTCGAAGTAATAATATTTCCTCTCTTTCGTCACATTCGGACCTTAACACACTTTTTTACCGTTTTTATCGCTCATCTTTTAGTGGTATCCGCCGTTTCGTTAATGAAAATCGTGCTTTAATCCGTCATTTACATGCAATAACGTTAAAGTACATGCTTCTCAAAGTCTTTCAGGGTTACGTATTCGTGAAGTCTGTAAAGGTGTTGTCTGCACAGCCGATTATTCAAATCTTTACTTGTCTTTGCGAAGTTCCGCGAGGAGAGGCGATCGATAATAATCTTTAGCTTGGCTGCAACGAAGAAAGAAATGAACGCTTAAAAGCGTAATCAATTTTACAAGGAATTATTATAATTATTATAATTTCCTATAAAAATTATAGGAAACATAGATACTGTTAAATAAAAAATTTCTAAGATATGGAGATATTTAATAGTAAGTTATGCAGAAGTTTGAGAAGGGCCATTTTAGTTACGAGTTTATTTTACTACGAGAGTAGCGAGGACTTTATTAAATTATTTTTATTCCAAAGGAGCCGCTACCACGCTTTTTTCTATCGTGCGCCTGCGAACCACTACGTAACTTTTGCAAAATCAATGAAATTTTCCTTGCGTGCATCCTATATAAAGTGCTTTACAAATATGCCCTCCACCCAACTTCCAACTTTGGTAAAATTTTCTGCCAGTAATAGCAATTTCTAACGATGTGTTTTCAAATCATTAGGGGGTAATAATTTACCATGGAAAAGGTAATTTTCAGGTACTTTAAACCTTTTGCCTGTAGATAAAAAAAAATTATAACCCAAAATCCGGTAAATCATTTTCTTGATTTTTCTTCAAACCAAAAATAACCCGAAAGGAATTCCACATTTTTAAAAAAAAATTCTGATGATGTCCCATCAGTTTTTACAGATTCTTACAAAATTCAAGTAGATAACTGCAAATTTTGGAGACATTTTGTACACATTATCTTAGTACAATATAACTTGCACATACTGTATACAATGCGCGAAAACAAAAGCTATCGATACGTCCTAAATAGCAAAATGAAAGAAAGCGCTTGTGTGTTAGTTACGGCCAATCTTCTTTCTAAGGATAACTCTTTTTTTTTCTCATAACCGGCACGCCCTGTATATTTTTGGTACATAAAGGACAAAGAAGTTTGTAAAGTGTCGGCTGTGTTTTGGTTTAAGAATTTTTGAGTTCCGACAAACTTTTTAAGGGATAGGAGGTTTTCGTTATGGGTTTTGATTTTTTAAAACGTTTTTTTTCTTAAAACTTTATTTCAAATAATTTGAAAAAACATAAGTTTAGTTCTCATGTTAAAAATTATTTAAAAAAAACTGATTACTGCACTGGATTTAACGTAAAAAATCTAATAACGATACGGGGTGCTTAAAACATAGAAGATAACTTAAATGGCCAAATTTTCTCTTCCCCCCTATATCTCAAAAGCACAGCTAGCTAGTAATGTTTTGAAAGCGACATATTTTGCGTGAAAATAGAGCACTGTACAAAACCACATCGCTTTATCGCTAATAATAACTCAAACACTAAATTTGAAGGAGATAGACGAAAACTAATGTTGTTTCAGATTTATACGGTGTTTTTCGAAAATGTATATTTTTATGGAAAGTTTTATGATTCTATGAAAACATTTACAGGACATTTTTTTACTCTGTTTCTTAATGCGAGATAGTTATAAATCATTAGTGAACTGAAAAACTGAGTGGTCTTAGCCGTAATCCATTAGTGTAGTATTGCACCTATGATTCATGTCAAAGGTCCAGGGAGTGGCAGCCAGGGGAGCAGTTGCCTTAGTGTTTCAAATTAGTGTTTAAAATAGTTACTTTCCCGCAGTTGTTGGCCAAAGTTCATTCGAGAAATGGATTAGTAAAACTCCGCTTTCTAGAATTTCGAAAACTATTATTCTCAATATTTTCAAAGCTTTTTGTCACCAAAACCCAACATTCGGAGTAAAAAGGGTTGAAATATATTCGAATATGACTGGATTTGGCCACTCAACAATATACCAAAGGCTGGAAGAAAAAAAACTGTAATAAATAAACATGAAAAGAATAATACACACATTTTACTTAAAAAAAGGATAAAATAATATCTGAAATGAAAAAGGATGCCTTCATGCCACCCATAGATAAGAAGAAATTGTGGAAAACTTTGAAAAAAATGAATTTTCGTTACGAAAGAAGAAATAATCTGCTGGCGACGGTGATATATGAGAGCGGTTGGAAAGTTTCGAAGGGAAAACAGGAATATCTGTTACCTGAACGGGTAAATGAAAGATATACCGTTGGTAAAACATGGCAGGATCAAAATCTAAATAGCATGAGTTTTCATGCAAGGATGGTCCACTGGTATAAAAGCACCCTCTAAAAAGGTAAAAGATTAATAGTTACTCACATTGGTTGCAAAAATAGATTTGTTGATGGTGACTTCTCAATCAAAACGGACTGGAAACTACCATAAAGACATGAATGCTGATGGATGTTTTTGAACACTACTTTCAGTAAATTTGCATGTTGATTGGACCTTCTCAAAAATTTGTTTCATAACTGCTTCATAAGTTCCTATATCATCGACATATGCAGGGCCTCTATATCCCTCGTAGCTATATGAGTTTATCTAATGTTAGTTCTTGTTGATTTTGTTGATTGTTGTTGATTTTGTAAATTTTTTTTAACGCCACCTAAAACCACCGTTTCTTGTAACTCATCAGGAGTTCATGTATAGCTTTTTGGTCACTTCTTGCCACTATTGCCACACTATTAATTAGGTTGTATCGCAATCCTCCAAAAATGTCTTTAAGAGGTTGTTTTCTTTCAGGTCGTAACTCAAATTTCTTGCCATCTCTATATTCTTTCCGACTTTCATTTACTTTACAATTAACGAAAACTATCAGCATGCAGTTGTTTCCGATATTATGGTTGCTCCGTCTTAAGTATACTTGATCAAAACTCTCAAGTAAAGTGGCAATGCAATATTTTTGGAAAGGGAATTTCAGGTATTTTTAACACGATGTCCCATATGAAATATCAAATTTTTCACAACTAACGAAAACTATTAGTTTTAAAAATATTATATTTCAACCGATAAACACAAAATGATCCTTAACAAAAAACTTACAGCGATTTTTAAAAAATGCACAGTTTTACCCGGTTTTCATCATTAAGTGTTTTATAAAATTTGAGCTCCAGATACTGACACGAGTTTTTATTTTGTTCAAAAACGGGGATTTTCCTTTTAAAAGTTTCCTATCTGGCCCACTGTATACATCCTGTTGCTAAGTTTCTAAGTTGGTAAACGTACAATATTAAATTCGCGGATCTCTACTCGCGCCAATGATAGTTGAAACCAAACGATTTTTCAAAACCCACAGAGAAGTCAGATCGCTTATTTCTGTTTGATTAATCTTCGACCAATCACGTTCCCGAAAAGTGCAACTAGCTTCAAGCGAGCCCGCCGAAATCAAACGCCGAAAGAAAAAACGGTATCAAAGGCACAAAGCTCTTGAACGGAGTGGGGAGACAATATCTATCACATTGCAATTTGAAGAACGTTATTACAACCGAAAGAAGAACTGTTGCAAGAAGTGCGCTTCTTCGCGAACCGATGCATAACTGTTAGTTAAAACATCGCGGTCGAAGTGCGAACACTTCTTGTACGATCTCATTCCGCTCTTAGATATTGTTGCTACACAAATTCGCTATATTTCTCGTATACTGCAAAGAGTTGCGCCTTCGAAATGAATTAGGGCAATTTTTTTTTTTGGAAAATAATGCCGTCGCGTTTCACTCATCATTCGCGGTCATCTTCAGAATTGCGATAGTGTGCGCGGTGTCGAAACGGATATTACCAGAACCGATAAAATTCGAGCGTTTCTGAAATCGTTGATGTGTTCTTTGTGTTGAATCCAGAAAATATGGAATTTAGGTCTTCAAGGTAAGGCATTAAATCGATCGACAATATCATCCCTTTCTTTTTCTCTCAAATGACTAGTTCAGTCAAAGCGCGGTAGGAGTAGATATTAATGCAGAATAGAATAATTATATAAGAACAGTCATTCCGAATAATAATCTCAAAAGAATAATTTGTAAATAATTTTCTACACGATAGAATGTTTTTCATAATAATTTTTTTAATCAATTTTGAAAAGCTGTAAAGATTTGCATGTCTTTATGTTATTTAGCAAGTCATTGAAAACTGAGAGGTCTACATTTCGAGGAGAACTGAAAGTCAATTTCGATTTGCTAAATTTGAGCAGCGATTAGAACCACTTCTAGCATTTAAATTATATATATCGCTTTTTTTATTATCCCTATTTGTAAAAACAAACAGATTTCATAAAGACACAAAGACGCCACAGTTAAAATATTTAATTTTTGACTTTTTGGTTTTCCATCAAAAACGTCGCCTTGCGTCAAGATTCGGAAAATAATCCTGTTCGTTTTTATTTCAGAACTTAACATTGAGAATTTACTTTTGATATTACTATCAATATATAGGCCACTATATATTGGCTCTTTTCGTTGTCCAATTGAATTTACACGCATAAGCGTCATTTTAGATAGGTTTATGCATAGAAAGTGGCGACGGAACCAACTATTAATTTTTATAATCAATTTATTGCAGTCACTTTCCAGAACTGTATCAGAGTTATCTGAAATTAAAGAAGTAACATCATCTGCGAAAATTGTAAATAAAGCATTAAGATCTATATTGTCAAACTGGTTAATAAATGAACCCTTAAGTACTCCGATTGAAATGTTTAACATATTTGAGATACAATTTTTAATTTTAGTTTTAAAATCAATATGATTTCGACCAATTAAAAGACAACAACAAAACCATATTTTTTTATAATAAATAAAGAGTCATTCGACACTGCCGAACACCCTGCCAAGATCGCAGAAGATCCCAATAGGGCTCACCCACATCGATTGAGTTTGTCAGTGTTTCATATAAAAAGTGACTTCTACCATCTCTAAATCCGTTAATTTTATAACAATATTTTATTATTTTTTGAGTGATGAAGTAGCCGATTTCAAATTACGCTCTTCAATTCAACCGATAGCCCGGTAATCAGTCCATTAATAAAATATGGGAATAACTTTACAACGGAAGTCATCACAACAGAATGAGAGATCCACAAGTACGTAAATGGTTTTATAATGGATGAAACATTACTTGTTTAATTAAAAAGTTTGGAAGGTTGTCAAAACCACTGGAATTTTAATTGTATAAAATCTTGAAAATTATTGGAACTATCGATTTTCTACAATTAATAGGTCAGGGATAGATTATTTTGGTGGCATTCGACATTTTTTTTATTTGCTAATTGAATAACTACCTGCCAACAACTTGTGTATGTTTACTGCCGAAAAAAATCATATTCTGATCATATACCCTTTTTGTTTCACTTACTAACTTCCTAAGTTGTTTTTTCCTCTAAATAATATGGATTTAAGTATGCAAATTTTTGTAAAAGGTAGCAAAGATCTTTTAATTTGTTTCTAGAATATTTAACGCAATGTGTAATTTAGAAAAATATATATTCTCAAAAAAGTTAAAAATGGCTTAATCACTATATTTTTTTCCATAAATAAACTTAAACAAATATTAAACTCCATTACTATCACTCTATCACTATTTCTATCATCTGAAAATGTTGACTGGTGTTGGTAAAATTTTGTTCAATGCAACTACCAGAGGTAGCCGTCACTCACGTGGATCACCCTTAAAAGATAAACGATACGACGGGAAGATATTACTAAGTCTTAAAAAGGTAATACATTTTTTATTAAAATGAATGAAATTAAAATTTAGATTACTGCCACAAACCTGCACGTAAATAGTATATTATGCAACAAGTGCGGTAAACAGCATTTGACTCACGAGTTTATTTGACACGAGCGGAGCGCAGCGGTGCGAGTGTTTAATAAATGAGTGAGTAAAAAGTTTACCGAACGTGTTGCATACTATACTTTTTCTACGACCGTTGTTTTTGGGTACATTTTCGCAAAACAACACGAATAAATTCGTGAGCGTCAGAATTGACAAACGTCAGAACTTAAACCGTGGGAAATATCTCCGAAAACATCCGATTGCTCCGAAACCCGTACGGTAAAATCCCGGAAAAGTCGCTCAGACCGTGGGGAACGAAACTGAAGTGGCAAAATGACATTTGCCGCACAAGGGCTCGGTGTATAATTATGTATTTTACAGACGGGTGTAGAAAAACATATAAAGCAAGCAATAAAAATATATAATAAATCAAAACTCTACCTTACAAACTAATTGATATTTCAAAACCGGCATAAGCATACTCCTGAGTTGTTAGCATCCAATTAGTGGCTGTTTTTATAATCATAATGATTTTTTTAATTTCTTTGAAGTATCGTGCCCTTATGCTTTATAGTATTTTTATTCTTTCGCCGCGTCTGACTCTTTTCATACACTGTAATGTCAGACGGAAATTAATTCTAATTCTAAAGTAAATTTTAACACATTTGTCTGCATTCCAAAGAAAACAGACTATTACAATACAATAAATCAATTCCTTACAACTAATTTATCGGTCGCTTTATGAGACAACTTAAATCGCAACTGTACGATCCCGTTTAAAGTAATTATACATTCAACAGCATAAAATGTTTCGATCAGTCGTAGTAACGACTGAAGATAATTAAAATTACGGAATATGTTGAGTGCGAGCACACGCGCATGAGTTGAAAAAAAAATTCAGTTGGGAGTCAGGTCAATTAGATACAAATTACTGGGCATTTCTGTGTCAGTAAAGTTAAGGCTTCGTCGACTCCAGAAATCTTAAAAATCTCTAATTTATATGGGTCGTCGTTATGCATCCGAAGCCAGGAGGCTACCTACCCACAGATTGTTCATTGGCTCGAGGTAATAAATGGTAATAATCCATTCACTTCTGACCTCAAATAATTATCCGTAATCTTTCGCATTGACAGGCATGCAACTCTGTTTTGTTTCGGATTTCCTCAGTTTGTTTTCTTTTTAGCTTTATACAGTTTATTAGCTCTCTTTCTTCACAGCATCGCGTTCTTATGCGGGAACTTTGATTTGATTGTTAGAATTTAAAAAATATATTTATTTCAATTTTTGTTCATTTCCTTAAGGGATTCATTTTTTTCCCAAAATTATAATGCATGATCGTACAAATGAATGTGAGAAAAGACAAACAAAAACCTCCAGAAACCAATTTTCGGTAGGAAATAATGCACAAACAATACAAATAAAAATAAAACTTTGTGTTTGTTGTTGTTCATTGTATTGTTTGTATTGGTTTTTTTACACTTGTATGACAATATCCAACACTTGTATGACTTGTATGGTAATGGCAAACCCATAGCATAATTCACAGTTACGAAGTCATCGTCCATTACTTTAATCAAGTTAAAATAAACCCTATTATTGCTAATCAAGCAGCAATTAACTTTTATACTAATAATATGGTAATCAGCAAGAATTTCCATTTTTTTAATGTTTCAAAGGGACATGCGTGTAAAATAATATAATAAATATAAGTAACATTAAAAACCAAAGCAATAGGCAGCGACAATCTGAACATTAGTCTTATAAAACTATGCTGTCCTATATTGCATCCTAACTTACACAGTGGAGCAGTGGAAAATTGCCTATATTGTGCAGGTTCCCAAGACTGTGATATGGATAGATCCTTTTTGAATTTAAAAATTAACAAAAAACCTTGGTCTTATAATAATTTTCAGAACATGAATTACGATTAGCAAATTCACAAAAACAGCATTTTAATCAGAACTTAAAAATAGTGGCTCTGTGAATCTTTCAGCCTTTAATTTCTGCGAAAATATATATGGAAGCTGTATCGATTCCTACAATTCTAAGCATATAGAAAATTTGAGAATGCGTATCTAATAGGATCTAAGGTACCAATACAAAATTGACTAAAATAAAATTTATAACTTTGCTTTTCTTGTACTCGTAAATGCGACGTATTAGGACTACCTCAACTGTTCTGGCGTGACGGTCAGTAAATTAAATAAACAAACATTCGCGGGAATTAAAGAGCCGCATTCACTTTCGTTACAGTCTATAATTACGCACCCAATTAAAATTCATTTATATTATGTGAGGTCTGTTTTGCGTGCGCGAAATATTTATCGAAAATCTAAGTCGGTTTTTAGTGATAGATCAAAATTTAATTCAATTCAAACTAAAAAATTACCGACATTAAAATAAATTAGATCTAAAAGTTCAGATTTTCACGAAATTATATATTTTGACATGACAATTGTTTCGACAACATCGTGTCTTTATCAAATGTCATGTCAAAATATATATTTTTATATTTTTATAATTATATAATTTAGTTCTTATTGATTTTGATAAATGGATTTTCATCAAGTAAAAAGCCACCTCAGTTCAATTACCGACGTGTTAAAATTAAACTGATATTTCGCCTTTCGAAGAAAAACTATGCTTTTAGAAAGAAAGGATACATTTACAATACTCAGAAACTTGATGCTACGAAATGAATGCATTTCCAAGATTGCAACTATAACAATATAGTGTTTATTAGAATGGCATATGTCATGTCAATTATTTATTTATTTAAGGAGAATGGCTAACCTATAGACACAGCTGTCCAATAAGAAGTGAACAAAAATTACCACAATGTCTTAAATTAAACAGTTCAACAGGAGACTTTGGATAATTAAAATATAATACATATTAAACACATGATGTATTTTCAAACAAGTCAACCACTAATTTGGCAGAAAGTGTAATGAGACATATCTAATTCTAATAAAATGAATATTATGAGTACTAATCAATGTTTCCTGTACTATTTCAATTTGAGAGGAATGTTCAGGAATGGATCTCACCATGCTACTAAATAAAAAAAATATTTATTAATTTTGGGTCCTTGTATG